TTTTTTTAAAAGAATTTTGTTTATTTTGTTATATTTATATATTCATGATGGATAATCAAGATAGCTGCTTAATTGATAGTGCAATTACACATACTATTCTTCAAGACAAAAAATACTTTTTGGACTTAATATTAGTTGAAAATAATGTTAACATGATATCGGGTGCGTTGAATATCGTTAAAGGCTCCGAAAGAGCTTGTATTATTTTACTAAATAATACAAAATTATATATTGACGATACACTTTATTCTAACAAATCCAGAAGAAATTTGCTTAGTTTTAAAGATATTCGCTGCAATGAATATCACATTGAGACGATGCAAGAAAATAATGTTGAATATCTTTGCATCACTTCTTTTGTATCTGGCAAGAAGCAGATAAAAGAAAAATTTCATGCACTCCCGTCTAGTATGTATTTTATATTTATAAAAATGGTCGAATCAAAAAATGTTACGAACTAGAAGTTCGTTGATTCAAAAAGTTTTATACTTTGGCATGATCGACTTGGATATCCAGGAGCCATAATGATGCGTCGAATAATAAACAATTCACATGGACATCCTTTAAAGAATTAGAAGATTCTTTTATCTAATGATTATTCATGTGTAGCTTGTTCGCAAGGCAAATTAGTTATTAGACCTTCAACTACAAAGGTCCATATTGAATCTCCAACTTTCTAGAAAAGAATACATGGAGATATATATGGGCCAATACACCCACCATGTGGACTATTTCGTTACTTTATGGTATTAATTGATTCTTCTACAAGATGGTCACATGTTTGCCTACTTTCAACTAGGAATGTAGCATTTGCTAGACTACTTGCTTAAATCATAAAATCACAATTCCCCGATTACTCAATCAAGACTATTTGTTTTGACAATGCTGGTGAATTTAGATCACAAGCATTTGATGATTATTATATGTCAATTAGGATTGAAATTGAACATTCAGTTGCACATGTTTCATATACAAAATGGTTTAGTGGAATCGTTTATTAAACGTCTACAACTTATTGTTAGACCATTACTTATGAAAACAAAACTCCCAACTTCTATTTGGGGTCATGCCATATTACATGCTGCATCATTGGTTCGTATAAGACCAACTGCCTATCTCAATATTCACCTTTGCAACTTGCATTTGGTCATGAACCTGATATTTCTCACCTACGGATTTTTGGTTGTGCTGTCCAAGTTCCTATTTCACCCCCACGATGTACTAAAATGGGTCCCCAACGAAAACTTGAGATTTATGTGGATTTTGATTCACCATCTATTATTAGATATCTTGAACCTTTAACGGGTGACTTATTTACTGTACATTTTGCAGATCGTCATTTTGATGAAATGACTTTCTCAACTTTGGGAGGAGAAAAATTACATCCTGAAAAACAAGATAGAATTTCTTGGAATGAGACAACTCTATCTCACTTTGATCCCCGCAGCAATCAATGTGAACAAGAGGTTGAAAAAATCATTCATTTGCAAAGAGTTGCAATTCAACTACCTGATGTATTTGTTGACACGAGAAAAGTGACAAAGTCATATATTCCAACAAAAATTAATGTCCCTATAGGATAATCTGTTGTGGCAAATGAATCTCAAATACGCCAGAAGCGTGGTCGACTAGTTGGTTCAAAAGACTCTGTACCTCGAAAAAGAAGAGCATGGGAGAAAGACCAACCAAAAACTTCAGAAGAAATCACATTAGAAAAGATTGATCAATCAAATATTGAATGTACGATTCCTGAAGAACCAGAAGTGCCCGAAAACAATGGGATCTCAATAAATTATATGATATCTCATAAATTATGGAAACGAAATAATATTGTTATAGACAATATTTTCGCCTTTAACATGGCTTTTGATATTATGCAAAATGAGGATCCTGAACCACAGTCTGTTAATGACTGTCGAAATAGAAATGCTTGACCAAAATGGAAAGAAGCCATACAGGCAGAATTGAATTTTTTGGAGAAACGAAAAGTGTTTGGACTAGTAGTTCGAACACCTGAAATGTAACCCCTGTTGGATACAAATGAGTTTTTGTACGAAAGAGAAATGAGAATAATGAAATTACAAGATACAAAGCCCGACTAGTGGCTCAAGGTTTCTCCCAAAGACCGGGAATTGATTATGAGGAAACATATTCCCCCGTAATGGATACCATCACTTTTAGGCTCTTAATTAGTTTGACCGCGTCACAAGGGCTCGATATGCGCCTTATGAATGTAGTAACTGCTTACCTATATGGTTCACTTGACAGTGACATATATATATGAAAGTCCCTGAAGGATTTAAGGCGCCAGGAATAAATGATACATGTCCAACAACTATGTTCTCAATTAAATTGCAAAAATTATTATATGGATTGAAACAATCCGGACGCATGTGGTATAATCGCCTTAGCGAATATTTGTTGAAAGAGGGTTATAAAAATGACGATATCTGCCTATATGTTTTCATAAAGAAAACAAATATTGGATTTGTAATTGTGACAGTTTATGTTGATGATTTAAATTTAATTGGAACTCCTGAAGAGCTCAACAAAACTGCAGATTATCTGAGAAATGAATTTGAGATGAAAGATTTGGGGAAAACCAAATTTTGTCTTGAATTACAAATTGAACATTTTCCGGAGGAATTATTTGTTCATCAATCTACTTATACAGAAAAAGTTTTGAAACGCTTTTTTATAGATAATGCACATCCATTGTCATCACTTATGGTTGTTCGACACTTGACGTGAAAAAAGATCCATTTCGTCCACTTGAAGATGGAGAAAAGATTCTTGGTCCTGAAGTACCATACCTTGGTACAATTGGAGCATTATCTTATCTTGCAAATTGCACTCGACCTGACATAACTTTTTCTCTAAACCTCCTTGCAAGATATAGCTCTACACCAACTCAAAGGCATTAGAATGGTGTTAAACATATTTTTCGTTACCTAAAAGGTACTATTGATATGGGACTGTTTTATTCTCAAAAGTTAGAATTTGCTTTAGTAGGATATGCAGATGCAGGTTATCTCTCCGATCCACATAAAGCTAAATCACAAACGGGATATGTGTTTACACGTGGAGGAACAGCTATATCATGGAGATCTGTGAAGCAATCCTTAACAGCAACATCCTCAAATCATTCTGAGATTATTGCAATCCATGAAGTAGGGCAAGAATGTGTATGGTTGAGAAATATGACCCATCATATCCAATCATCATGTGGATTGACTTCAACAAAAGATAGTCCAACAATTTTGTTTGAAGATAATGCAGCTTGTATTGCACAACTCAAGGGATGCTATATCAAAGGCGACAGGACGAAGCATATTTCTCCAAAATTCTTTCATACACATGAATTTCAGAAGAATGGTGACATTGATATTCAACAAATTCGCTCAAGTGACAATGTGGCTGATATATTCACAAAAGTGCTGTCAACATCTACATTCAAGAAATTAGTTCATGAAATTGGAATGCGTCGACTCAAAGATTTTCAGTGATCAACATCAGGGAGAGTAGCTGTACTATTTTTCCTTCGCTTAGGTTTTGCCCCATTGAGTTTTCCTAGCAAGGTTTTAATGAGGCAACATTTAATTTTAATACTCCAAAATAACTGTACTCTTTTTCCTTCGTTTGATTTTTTTTCCATTAGGTTTTTATCAAACAAGATTTTAGCGAGACATATATTTTGTAATATATCATTCAAGGGGGAGTGTTGTAAATGGAAAGTCCATTAAAGTTTATTGGTGAATGACATTTGTACCCCTGTAACCCTAAAAATTATTACCATTGTATCCCTGATTCTTACCTATAAATATAGGGCTTTAGTTTTCAATAATACACACAAAAGTTTATTGAGTTTTCTCTATTTTCTTTTCCTCTCATTTTATAACAACAGTAACACAAAATAGATTAAGTCACTGATCATTTCTACAGTAACTTCACATTCTCCTTTTTATATGTAGGGAAATGAGCTTTATATGTGGAAATCGCACTGATTGTTGTGAATGATTTAATTTCAATTCAACTCCTTAATTTGTTTTAATAATTTTTTTTTTCAAATTGTTGTTTCTTGATGGTAATCTTCCTCTACAAATACAGCAATGATCTTTTCGACAAAATTATCTTGAATTTTGATGCGGTTGTTTATGGTTTTCTCCTTGCTTTTAATAACAGGCTGTGACCTCAGGTGGCTCCATCCCTGCTGCAGACCCAACAACAATTAGATTTGGAATTCCGTCATTTGATAATTTTTCTGGCGTGGGCCGTGTGGCAATTGTGATCCATCCATTCCATTGGCAGAGCACGTATGTTTTGAAAATTAGGCTGGAGCGGCCAGTTCTACTAGAAAAATCAAGAATCGGCCTCAAATCCAATCCGATACTAATTAATTAATAGGAAATGAAAAAATTGGTACATAACCGATCGAACCGGCCATTTTAGCTGAAAATCGGAAAGCTGATCACGGTTTTTACCGATTTTTTTAAAAATATTAATAAAATTATAATTTATTACTTTGATAAATGGGCTAAAGTATTGGCAAGTCTAATTTTACCCTCCTTCCAATACAAATGTTGTTTTTAAAAGGGAAGAGACATGCAATGTTTTCCTCAACTTTCAATGTAGGATAAGTTGTAAAATCCTTTGCAATTTGTATATTTAATAATTGTTCACTTTTTTCTTTTTATTAAACAAATTTTGGCCCCAAAAATACAAATAATTTTAATTTTAACAAAGCAAATTATTTTAGATATAAAAATTGTTAGTCTTTGATGTTTTAAAATAAATTATAGGATAATAAATTATTAAATTTAATTGACAAATATTATTTATATTTACTTTAAATTAGTAATACTACAATTTAAAAATTTGTTATTGTTATAATATTTTAGGGTCTGTAGGAGTATTTATTTATTTAATTTTGATACGAGTAGACACTGATTCGACCATTTGACCTTTGAGGGTTTTTTTTTTTTTTTTTTTTTTTTGGGGTCGATGATGGAGTCGGTTTTTAAAACATTGCTTTCTGCACCTCTTACTCTCTCTGTCTCTCTACAGGCAGCCATGGTGTCGCAATACGGAATCAAACTCGCCGCCTATTTGATTTCATCTTCCTATAGCGACTTTTGCTCTGTAATACTCATTTTATGCAATCTATGACTAATTATATCACCACTCTTTTCTCTGTATATTTATTTACTTATGTTTTTTTTGTGTTGCAGAAAGTATGTGAGTGTTTGCTCAGCTCAGGAACCCTAACTCTCGTTCAAATAATTCGTTTCACAGAGCTCAGCAGAGAAAATGTCATAAACTGATTACGCGTTTTGATTCACCAAAATTGTGTCCAAGCCTTCTCCATTCGGCAAGAAGGTATGTCATTGGCCTCAGAATTTGATTCGGTGGGATTTGTTGTTTGAACGCTGGTTAATTTTTAGTTTTTGTGACTTGAAATTTAGTTGCATTTGGCGAGGCGTCAAAAATTGTTACGAAGTATACGGCGCTATTTGACAACATGATTCACAAAATGAGGTTCCCAAAATTCATGCAAATTGTTTCTGAAGAGCTTGGGGAAGATGTGAGGTTTTTGTTCTTAGTTTATTGGTTACTTAATCGTGTTTGTGATACTTGCAGTTGAAATTGATTTTGATATATTTGTCGGTAATGTTTTTATTGGGCTATTCTTGATGAAGTATGAATTGGTACATGCAGTGCCTAGGATTTTTGAGGGATTGCTTCAACATGGAAGGCTTTCACTTAATCAGATAGGAATAAGCAGACACCAGGTCGAGATACTTCTCTTATCATACTTTGTTGTGCTTGAGCATAATATTGTTTAGTTTCATTGGTTTTTGGCATAGAAGTTTTTTTCATATTATTTTGTATTTATGCTTCGCAAAATGTAAAATTAAGCCTCTTGACCTCTTTATTGCAAGCTGTTCATGAGTATCTGGATAATAAGTTGAAGAGCTAGTAATAGTATATAAAATTTCAATTTTGAATAGATGTTTAACAAATCATAGTTTTGAGTCCTAATTTCGTAGTGGCAGATACTACCATACTTTCTTGCTAAAAAAATAGTTCCTGTGGATGACATCAGTTTCTTGTGTTAATGCCTAAAGTAATAGTCAGTCTTTCAACTCAACAATTTCATTCCTTTTTCTCCTGAGGCCATATCAAAAGCTATATATCTTCGACTGAAGAGAAGAAATCAAGTCCTTTCTTCTGGTCTTTATGATATCCACAGAACTTGTTTGCATTGGCATTTTCAATTTGATTACATATATATGCATGCATTTGTTAACTTTTCAGTTCGAAGTTCTTCATTGATGTGATAAGGTGACTGAGATGGAATTTATCTTTTGTTGCAGCTGGCACCTTAAAAAAAAACCTTCTCAGCCCATATATTTCCTTTACCATCTATGTTCTCCTCTGCCACCCCTCCCCACCCAAAAATAAATAAAAAAAATAGAAGAGAAGATTCCTTTTGCATCATGAAACTGCCTCATCTTTTGTGCTGTAAAGCATTCTTAATCTTAATGACATGATTTTCTAGAGTTAAAATATATTTTCTTTCTCCTCTCATTATCTTGGAACTGCCTCATCTCTTTGCCATGTTATTCTTCGACGGAGTGGGTATATGGAGGTCGGGGGAATTGGATCGCTCTGATATGCATTAAACAACTTTATTACACTGAAGGTTCAAATTATTTGCAAAGATAATTCTGATGTACATGCTGTGCGAGAAAGCTTTAGTAGACTTCTGAACACCCGTTTTGTTGAACGCTGTCCTGCCTCTGAGCCATTTCTTGTGCCTCATGAAGAAGAAACTCCAACAAAGAAAGGGGAACCAAATCGGCTAAGGTAGTTGCTTTTGGAATGAGCGTACGGTACTGTTGTTTACTATGGTTTCTGTACTGAAAAGAAATTTTTTTTTACCATGTAAAGTAGATATATGCACTGTCAATCTGTAATTGTTGTGATAATTTTATTTTATTTTCTCACTTATCCATAATTTCAAACTGTAATGCGATGAACTTCCTTAGACTTGTGGGATTTAACTGGTCTTATTACCCTGTGAAAATTCTTTCATCAATACTTCCTGTATGAATGTGTTGGTCATATGTGTCTTTATGCTTTTCTTAGCCTATGTTTGGCTTGTGTTTATAAAAGCTCAAGCCACTTTTTATCCACACGTTTCAAGGGATCCACAAGTACTACGTACTTCCCCACTACTCATTTTTATCTATTAATATTTTAAATTGTTTATACACACTTCCAAACATGCTCTCACTGACTATTGAGAAATTTCATGTAGGATGAGGCATAATTTTTCAGTAGCTACATTCATATCTAGATGCTTTCATTGAGAACGATGATATTGATATCTGGGGAAAAAGGTCACTGGATTTAATGATATACTAACTCCCCATCTTTGGTGGTACTCGAGACAGTTGTTGTAACCATGGGGGTGGGGTAGGAGGTCAGAATTGCAACTGGATGTCAGTCAACTTATTTCTTCTGTTTGTTTGGCTTCTTGATTTCATTTTTCTATTTAATTATTTTCACTGACTAGTTAACATAATTTCATTCTAATCGCACTCTGGACATGATAACAGATTGTTGAAGCACCAAAGACCATAGAACAGCCGGCCTTGGCAGCGGATGCTCCATTGGAGTCAATAAGATTCTTGATGGAAATTGACAGCTTGACTGGTGCCTCTGAGGAGAAGGGTATGGAAAGTCACAATATTGCAAAGCTTGATGAGAAGGTTGGTGTATTTTTTCTGTTTAATGTTTCCTTTTCAAAAGCATCTATTTTCTTTGGGTTAAATAGTGGAAGCAAGAATTCTCAGAAGCAGAATTGTCAGCTTCTGGTAAAAAGAAAGAAATTGTCTCGCCTGTAAATTTCGAAGAATTCGTGCGTCGTCTGAGGCATAAGGTTCGTTGTTGTCAATAGTATTTAGAACATTTTCAGTGGATAGGGCCTCAGGTTGACAACTTTTCTTGCCAATTTTGATATACTTGAATTATGATTCTGTAATTGATATAAAAACAAATGCTTTCTTTTGGTAAGATAGAGACCACAATGAAGTATTAAACACAGTTTTGTTGGAAGTTTTAATTAATTACATGTGATGTAGGCTTGCATAGAATATGTTAGAATACGACTCCAAGATCAGTCTGGCATTGTTCTAAGTGCAATTCTGGAGTTGACTAGAAGTTCAGAGACTAGACTAAAAACTGATAAATCAGTTAACTTCCTTATTTCCATGAAATTGCTTGATTTTAGATTTTTTGCTGTCCTATTTATTTTCAGTATGGTGTTTACTGAAAACTTCACCATCATATTGTTCAAAATTTGATCAGTGGTTAGAAATAACAAAATGTAATTAGGAAATATAGAAATATCTTATGTAAGGGGGTAATGGAATATCTAACTAATTACCAATAATCTCCCATTAGTTTAATGCAAGATATATTGATTGTTTGGTTACATTATAATCACCTTATAATTTAAAGGTCAAAGTCAAACGTTAATATAGCCACACATTTCGGATGACCCACAGGCCACAACTACTACTCGATTATCCAACACACGTCTATCAATTGATAATTTCAGTAACTTGTAATTTCTCCCAAACAAACACTTGTTAAGTTGATTAACAAGTTTGAAGGTTATGTTTAGTTAGATGGATGGAGACCCAAGTGTTTAGTTTAGAGTATGAATTAGCTTATTGTTGATGCTGATAAGTTATTTTGTTACGACTTTGAATTCCATCTTAAAATGTCAACTTGTTAAGAGGAGTAACCCAAGAATTTATAAGTTGGTCTATGGGATTTTATTTCTTAACATGCCTTCACAAATTGGTGGCTCATTTGAGCGGACCAATTTTGAAAAATGTATTATCAATTTTTTAGTCTTAATTAGATTGAATTGCTCGTTAGAGCTTAATAAGCTCTGATACCATGTTAAGATTTGGGGTTCCATTTAAAAGTTCAACCTTGTTAAGAGGAGTAGCTTAAGAACTTATAAGTTGGTCTATATTTTCATCTTTATTCGATGTGGGATTTTATCCCTTAACATATATAAATCTTCATTCCTCATCATGTTTTCATGAAAGCAACCAGACAAAATTATTATGTTATGAGTTGATTATCTTCACACTGGCAAAGAATAAAAAAGGTAATGTGAACCCCGAATGATTTCAATGAGCATGTAGTTAATTGCAATCATAACAACAAACTGAAGAAGCTGAGAAAAGAAAGGATACTATTTATTTCCCAATTCTCATGGTCATTAACTGACAGTGCTGTTGGGTTTAGTTTGCATCATGTTTTCCTGTTGTGCTTAACTGGTTTGAAAAAGAAGTAATTTTATTGCAATTGAAACCAAGGGTGTATATATATCATTTTTGTCCATTCCACCTGTCTCCCACGAAGTTTCTTGCAAATTTTGAGGTTTAAAATATTGAACTAAAAATTGTTTGTTCCATGTGGTATTACGCATGCTTTTTTGTAGCATCCAATATCACAGAGTGCTAGTGGGCCTGACGTTAGCTCATCCTTACCACCACGGGTTCCATAATGTCCTGATGCTTTCGACTTCCTACTTATGTGTGTTGTCATGCACTAGGAGGTTATAATGTGGAATTATCACGAGTGAAAGACTGATAGTGCCCTGTCCTCTGAAATTTTTCCATTTTCCATATATTTTTTCATCTGGAAATACTTCAGCGCGTACCACTTTCTCATCTAACTTATAAAGAAAAATTTTCAGCTTCCCTGTAATAAATGATATTTACGATGAGGTGATGAAGAAGGATGATGGTCTTGGCATGGATTTAGAACGTATCAGAGCTTCTCTCGTCCAGCTTGGTTGTCAAATCCCCACAACTGGGATAGATGAAACATATAGTATTGATACTCATACTTTATAGTAGAGAGCTAAATTGTGGCTGTGGAATGTTTTAAATATTTCTGAGAATAATGTGTACCATTTCTCTCTCATGTTTGATGCTTTTGTTTCCCTACTGATTTAAAGAACATTATGAACAGGCTCAACATTAAGAGGTTCGTTTTTTCCCTTCATTCTTCTTTAGTTTTTGTTCAAAAGGTTATATTTTGATGTGTCTGATTTTAATGTTGTAATTGCAGGAGGAATCTGTTGTATTGGAAAGATATGAAAGGGAAGCCAATAGGATTTTCAGGTACTTTTCGAAGCCTGGCCATCATCTTCAGACTGATAAGGTATTATTTTTTGAATATTTTCCTTTAGCGTATTAACAGGCTTTCAGAATTTATCTACTATTTAACTGATTTTGCTGATCCGCATATGTTTTGAATTTTACTTCTTTCCTTAAAATGGATAGCTGTAGTAGCAAACCTTTTTGCGCATGCATCAACTTTTGATAAATTCTTCTTATTTGTCTCAGAAAGAATTGATGCTCATTCTACCTGAAAGCTAGTTAAGTTTCACTTCAGATTTCATCGAATATAACAGAGAAGATCTCCATGACACTCCTAAACGAAGCTATTTCAAAGAATGTTTTTCTGCCAAAGGATGCGTGCAAACAACAGCTTAAAACTTGAATTTAAGTCTCCAACACGGACAAATCTCTCATCAAAACCATTTTCAACTATACAATATAACTTGTTTGAATAGACATCTATAACATGCAAGCATCTACCTCTTCATACATCTGAAATGTCTCTATAGAACGAATCTGCATTTAGTGATTGTCGGCTACCAATTTTGAGCCCAGGTTAGAGGGTTAGTTGTCTTTGGCTCATTCTTAATATTTGCATTGAAACTGCAGTACAAACTGGTATGGGAATTTTTGCAGCATTTTGTGATGTGTGCAAAATTACAAATCATGTATAGAAATATATGGACTTTATTTTAATCCAATCGTGTTCTAATTTTGTGGATATGTATCTATATACACACACACACACTCAAGATCAGATGAAATATGATCAATTCACCGTTCATATTACCTCAAGGTTCTTTGAAAGACTTGAGTAAATATATAAATAAATAATGCTTGAAAAACATGAAATATTAGTTGATTTGCCAAATTTTACGGTGGATTTTGTTCAATTTGATTAAGGACTCCATCTTCAATCTATAAATCCATTCACACTTGAATTTCAGTAATTTAACCAAATCATAGTCCATTTGTTCGTGAAACTTTCTTGCACTTCCCTTAATTTCACCTAATCATCCAGGTAATTCTCCTACAAAGTTTTGGCATAACCTAGCATCGATTTTTTTACACATTTTCATATAAAGATTTCTTCTGGGTGGCATGACTTCAAAATCTTTTCTCATGTAACATAGCATCACTCATTTTTTTCTCACTCAACCAGCGGCTGCATTTTTATTTATTTATTTTTTCTCCTCTTGTTACTAAAATGTTGGGCTTCATTCTTCAAAGCCCTATATTAGTATCTTTTTCATCTCATTTCGGCACTCAGTCCAGTACCTAACGTAAACCATGACAAACTTGCAATTTGAAATCAATCCTTGAAGCATTCATCTAGCAAGGATTTTGAACATATTAATTGTTCTGATTCGTATTTATTTTTCTTGTTCTTCGGAAAAAATAATAAGCCAGGCTCAGGACACATTTTCTTGCCACAACTCTGGGTACCGTGCTACCCGTTAGGTTAGTACAATACCATCATGGCTTGTTTGATAAGACGTGCTAAAATCTCGTTCATTCTAGAGTTCGCCTCAATATTGCTTGCTAAACATGCAGTTAAATTCTTAAACCCAAACTTAGAAACACACCACATGCACACTTGCGTAGCGTACATCAACCTTAGGAACATAAATAAAAAATAAAAAAATTCAATAGTAATATGAAACATCTTATAATGTAATTTAAATTAATGTCCATGCCAAAAAACCAAAGTTTTGGAGCAAAATTTTTATCTCTAGAATAGAAACAAAAAACAGAGCAAGCCTAAATGAAAATGTATCGACTAGCCACTTACTGTAAGGTTTTTGGCACAAAACAAGAATCCTAAGAAGCATACTTCACTTCTTCTTCTCATGACCACCTCCAGCAGCTCTGCACCAGATAACATAAGCAACTGGCTATTAAAACCTAATCTCTGCCTAGTTGCACTATTGACCAGATTATGATTGTGTAGGAAAACCAAGAAAATCAATTCTATTTGCGATTAAAATTTCAATTCGATGGAGAATGTAAATATAGCACTAGCACGATTATCTTTTAATGACAGGATAAGGGATGCAATGTCATCCACGGAAATTAGGGGTGAACGTGGTTCGGTTTGTGCTATATTTTTTACTCAAATTATTTTATGCGATTTGAAATTTTTTTAAACCAAACCAAATCATAATTATCAATTTAGTTCGGTTTTAATCCACGGTTTACCTTTCGACATTATATAATGTATTTAACATAGTTAAATATAAGTTTAAATGAGAACTAATAATGTTAAATGTTAAATTATATTCAATTTTTACCATGAAACTCATGAATAAATTATTTTCAAAATTGGTTGTTAAAAGATGTAAATAGAAGAAATACATCTCTTCTTCATTTTTATTTATCTTTGCTTGTTTGACAGTCATATTATCATATAGCGGTTGGTAAATGTAGAGCTATATTATATTATTATAGTTTGATTAAAACCCATTTTTGTTTTGCTAATGAGATGTAAAGTAGAAGGTAGTAGTACTAGTTAAGGAATTTTAACATTTTTACACAATCAATATGCTCCGTCCTTTGATCTTTTCAAATCACAAACAAGTTCATTAATCATTTAGACACACAAACAATCATTTTTCTATTCAAATCACAACTCACAAGTGTATAATAAGTTCAAAAAACAAATAAAAGAAAGAACAATGGGAAAATAGCTTGAATAAGAATCTAAGACTTATCGAAAAAGAATAGAGAAAGAGACGATTCAGGTAGAGATTAGTAGACTACTAGGTGAAGGCGACTGACTATTCGTTCAGCAGTGATAGACAAACATCAAATGTTAGGGAAATGAGAGCTTATGTTAGGGTTTCTGAAACTTTGGACGTGGTTTACTGACGTAGTTTTGTTCAATTATGATTTGGATCGTTGAAAATATGTGGTTCTTTTTTTTTTTTTTTTTTTTTTTTTTTTTTTTTTTTTTTTTTTTTTTTTTTTTTTTTTTTGGGGGGGGGAGTAAAAAAAAAAAAATATTTGTTTGACCTGCCGATGTGGGTAGGTGGGTAACATAATTTTTGCCCACCGTGAACAGGGAATAAATTTTAGCATAATGAAATGACATGCTGCAAAATTCCAATGCCGTTACTTTGAATTTTCTCCGTTTTGGGTTTTCATTTGCGGCCGTTGTACTATTAGACAATTCTTAAGTTAGTAAATATACTTTAATTTGTTTTAATTAGGTAACTATACTTCACTGTTGTCTCAATTTTAGTCCTTTGTCTGATTCCGTCACATTGTTTAACGAGGACATTGACGTGGATGTTACATCCTAACGGGTTGTAAAAAATATTAAATTGTGTTGATGGCTACAAATAACGTGGTAATTATATATCAATTTAAACTAAATTTAGAAAAGTAATTGTATGTATTTGCTGGAAAAATTGTAAAGAAAAGAATGATTCTCGTTGAGCAGTGTTTTAGATAAATTTGCTTGGCTTGGCCTTTTGTGGGAAAATCTTACATGGAGTGCATTAGCTCTCTTCGAAGTAAATTGTTTCTCTTATTTATAGTTCTTTCAATTATGGGCTTGTTGTCTTTGTCTTGTCAAGTTACAGTGTTTAACATCAATTTGTGAGTCATTGTCCTTTTTAAAGAGATTTGATTGGCTATTGAGTTCGACCAATCTTGTTGCAGCCCACCATGATTGTTTGTCATCTAGGCAAACATTTTGTTTTTTTTTTTTTTTTTAAGCACGTTTTTCTGACATAAACTAAAAAGACCTTTTCCTTGATTAGCAAATTATATAACACATTTGTCCAAGACTGGCTATTAATGAAATCTAGCAATGAAACCATTTGAGGGGAAATAGATATGTATAAAAGCTAAGTTCAACTGACTATATTTATAGCTTTAAAGCATGTTTTGGAGTTGTTAATATTCAATTAAAGTGTAAATATATAGAAATGAGTGGGATAAGTGGATAGTATGTGTGGGTCCACAAAATATATGGATAAAAATTGGGTTGTTTATAAACCATTTATAAACAATAGACAAACAAGGGCTAAAATTTAATTTGTGTACTCTTTCGATTCACCGTGTTAGTTCATGTATTCTTATTAGTCCTCGTGTGAAGTTGATTTTTTGAGAAGTGAACTTTTTCTTAAAAATTGATTTCTGTGAAAAAGGTGTGGACAAAACGTAGGTAAAAGGTGTGGAAAAATGTGAAAATGAATTTATTTATTTATTTATTTTAATATGGAGCAGAAAATGATTGGAGAAAAAGTGATTTCGGCAAATTCAATTTAAAACACGGGCTTAATTATCAAACAACGGCTATTCAAGTAATTCAAGAGGCAAGAGCTTGCTGTGTTAAAAAATAGTACAAACACTAAACCACAAAATAAAATCAAATTTAAGAGGCAAAAAGTAGGAACTATCAAATTAAACATGCAAAAAAGCAAAGAAAACACTCGTGTAAAAAGTCACAGAACTATCAATTTAAACTGGCAAACAAAAGCATAAAAAAACACTTACGCCTTTCCTAGCGGATGGACGTGGAGCTAATTCCTTGCTAGTGACGATGTGGCCCTTGTTCAACCCCATAAATAAGCCAGTGTTTGTCTGCTTTGGAGCCATTACCTTCTTTCTAACAATGACAAAATCAAATAAGCACGAGTCTTTTTTACACTTCTGGTCTATGATGCATGGAAAGAAAAACTCTTCGGAAACCCTAACAAATGCTTCAGAAGCTTATAGGAAACTATACAAAAACTTAGAAAAAGTGAATAACCAAATAAACCAGAATTATGGGTTTAACCTTTCCATCAAAACAATTAACAGGTAATTGGGATTTTCTTTTCCCAGTCTCATATGAATAATCTCCTCTAAGATGGCGTAAAGCATCAACTTAATTTTTTAATTTGCGTGATTCTATTCTTTCTAATATTTAATCAACGTCCAATTGCATTTCTAAAATTAAATGTTGACATTGTTTAGAAGGGGGATTGATTTAAAAGGCTTGGTCAAACTAAACAATAGTCCAAGAAGACCAAGAACTAAGGTTTTTAGTTAAAATACCTAAAGTTATTAAATATGGAAAATAAAATTTGTAAAAGACTAAAATATCTTTATATATAAAATGATGTTATTGCCCTAATTTTCATTTCAATTTCCTTTCAACCCTAATCTCCTTCCCTCCATTATGAATGACTCAACCACGGTAGGTGCCTCCATACTGATTTTTTTATCATCGTCTTCTTTTCTATTTAATGAAATCACAAAATCTACATTCTCATTTCCTTGAACATTCATTTGGTTGAAGTGACTAATAAAGTCTTGCTATATTTTTGTTGGGCATTTGGAGAAGAAGAGAGGGTATGATAAATTTTCAATATTTGAGTCACTTTCTTTCTCCATTGTTTTGAATCATTTGTTCATATTATTGTATATGTGTTTGTGGTGTTCATTTGTCAATAATGATTTTGAATTCATTTTATGATTAGATTGGAGTTTTAAATGGGTTACTTCCCAATCTTATTCTCATTATCCTATATTTGTATTCCTTAGTACTAATTAAAGTGAAATGTGAAGTGGTGAAGGATGATCGGCTATTTTTCTCATTGTTTTCATGTGAAACATACTTTTGATTTTTTTATTACAGAACGACATACATATCGTTTTATGAAATCGTGAATGACATAGATATCGTTTTCTGAAATCCATGACAACGTACATATCCTTATCAAT